GTTTTATATAAAAATTTATATGGATTAATAAATGATAAATAGTATATTTATATGAAATAATATGTGTACCTATGTTACTCATTTACATTTGAAAAATGCACTGATATATAATGAACGTAATATTTCAAAAATTAAGTTTAAGAAATGAATACAAAATAATGAAAAACATACATATATATATACACACACAAACAACAAAGAGGAAAAAAGAAAACAATAAGTTTATCTCACCTTTCATAGTAAATTGGATGAATAATCGCGAAATAATGTCTATAGGATCCACAAGAACATTTGTTTCTCTCTCGAATGCAATATCGGTATCTGCAAAGAGAATTAAGTGATATGTATCACAGTATGATATGTATCACGTGCAAAACAGAAATATGTTATCCATCCAAAATCTAAATTTGTTTTTTATGCACTTTGAGAGGAATTAAATTAGAAATCATTTTGATACCAAATTTATGCAACAAATTATTCTAATATACTTTACTTTTCCCTTATAGAAATATCATACTAAGAATCATTGATAATTACTTATTATCCAGTATTTTTAATACTGAAAATAAGTAATTATCAATGATTCTTAGGGCCGGTTTTTCCAACCTCTTGCTAAGCTAACTAACAGTTAACTCATACGTCTGTCTTTGTTTCTCCCTTAAATTAGATAGAAACAGACATAAGATTTAACTGTTAGTTAGCTTAGCAAGAGGTTGGATAAACCGACCCTTAGTATGATATTTCTATAAGAATTGTACAGCAGTTGTCGTAAACGAGTAAGGTTCTTGTACAGGAATAGAGCAATTAATTTGTACAAAAATAGCAATTCCTTATTACATAAGTTGCATTAGATTGCGCTGAAATAACTATGCCATCAAAACAAACGTGCGTATAACACACTTGGATCTGTTACTGAAACATCAACAATTATAAAGAGCTCTTCTATTTCTACATAATTAATAATAAAAGTGCTATTTCAGCTTATGGAAAATATATGTTCATATGATTCATATTCACATTTAGTTCATGAAATGTTTGTCATTAAACAATGCAATACTTAGGGCCGTGACACACAGAAAAACTGAAGCAGTAAAATGTAAGCAGTAAGCAAATTTAACAACCAGTGAGTATAT